TTTACCATTTCACTCTTTTCTTTATCCTTTGATCTCTATTATATTTGTCCTAAACATGCGTGAAATATTTGCCACTGGACATAAGGCAACCAAAAAACAATCAACGTATTCTTTATATTTCATCATTTCATTATTATGTTATCTATAGGTTTGGTCCCGCCCCTTATCTATTTTTTGCACATTATTCTCCCTATGTAAACCCAATTCCTGTCCTGATAAATGGTGACTCATGCATAGCATCAAATGTGGTTATTAAAACAAGAAACATATTCATATTGTAATAATGTACTGTATGCTTGGACTTATAGATAGATGTCATTAGTCCCATATCTTGTAATAAAGTAGGTCTTATAAAAATACAATAGCATTGTAATGATGATTATATATATGTATATATATTTAACAATGCCAATTTTGGGGAAAAAAGGGTAGGGACAAGGCGTTTTTAAAACATATTAATGGGGCGCGTTTTTTTGTTCTTCGGTAGTGAGCCAGAAGAAGTCCATTTCTTTTTTTTTGCATTGGGAAGATCTTCTGGCTCTCTTCCACCTATACTTTTTTGATAGGTTGTTTAGACGGCAGAGGCACATAACAAACATATGGCGTCGTTTAGTCTAAATTACTAATAAATTTATGAATGCAGATATATTAGAATGTGAGCTGTGTTATAAACGTTTTTATGGTATGACAGCCTTAGTAGGACATCCCTGTAGGACGATAAGCTGGATAAATATAAGAACTACACGGACAATAACAGTTAAGGGACGATTATTTGATATTCTAGGGAAGGGATTTTGATTGATTGGTGTTTAACGCTACTTTGAACACTATTGGCCTATTCCGTGGTGGTCAGTTTAAATTTATAGATGAAGGATGGGGAAGGGAAGAAAGGGTATTATTATTCATTTTAATCTGTCGCTAATCATGCCTATTTTTCAGCTCTTACCAGGCAACCATATTCATATATGAAATCCTTCTGTCCCCCACACCAACAAATAGATAAATATCAAATGGTTTTTCCACTTATTTAACACAATTTTAAATTGATTGATTGCTTGTTGCTAATTTTTAACGCCCAGTGACGAATATTTCATGCTTGTTCAGGAAAACACGAATTTAGAAGTCAGGTATATAATATAAAAACGAAGAGATGGGATGGGATATGATTGCTAATAAGGCAACTATCCACCGGAGTTCAAATATGAAGTGGATGTAAGCAATTATAGACAATCGTAAGGCCTTCAACAATGACAAAAACCTGATACTGTAAAGTCGTCTATAAAAGGCCCGATATGAAAAGTGTGAACAATTCAAACGAAAAAACTAATGGCCTAATTATACATAACAAAACAATTTACAACATATCAAATATGAATCGAGACATGAACCAACGACAACCACTAAATTACAGGCTCCTGACCTGGGACAGGCAAATAAAGAATATGGTAGGGTTGATCTAAAAACAAAGATGTGGTATGATTGCAAATGAGACAACTCTCCACAAGAGACCATACTACACAGAAATCAACAGCTATAAGTCACCGTACGGCCGTACGACAATAAGCAAAGCCTACTACGCAATAGTCAGCTATAAAAGGCCCCGAAATCACAAATGTAAAACAATTCAAACGAGAAAACTAACGGCCGAATTAATGTACAAAAAATGAACGAAACACGAATATGTATAACACAGCAACAAACGGCAACTACTGAATTACAGGCTCCTGACTTGGGTCAAGCACATACATACAGAATGTGGCAGGGTTAAACACGTTAGCGGGATCCCAATCCTCCCCCTAACCTGGGACAGTGGTGTAACAGTACAACAACATGTTTGTGAGACCTCAACCCATCCCGGCGAATCTGGGACAGTGGTGTAACAGTACAATAAAAGAACAACCTGCACTAATCAGTTGCAATTAGTCAAAAGATCGGTACGAGACACACAAAAAAAACTAACATTAAGACAATAGACACAAAGCACCGACACTAGAGTATTTTCAATTACTCAGTGGAAGTTTGCTCAAAGCTAGTAACGACTAGTACTGAAATAAATCTTGTTCTCCCAGACTGAAGTATCAATCAGTACACAACGCGCGGCAAAGGACTTATTAAAAAAGAAAATTTTAGAAACGTCTGGTTTACGTTGTATATAGATATAAGAAGATGTGGTATGAATGCCAATGAGACAACTCTCCATCCAAGTCATAATTTGTAAACCATTATAGGTCAAAGTACGGTTTTCAATACGGAGCCTTGGCTCACACCGAACAGCAAGCTATAAAGGGCCCCCAAAAATGACTAATAAAACCATTCAAACGGGAAAACCAACGAGGCCGTCTAATCTATTTAAAAAAAACCGATATACTTGCATATAGATCCATATACATGTACAATGAAAGTTTTTGAAATGTTGTGGTCCGAACGTTTTGACCATCGAAATTTTGCAATAGAAATAACAGTTAGGACCAGAAGATTTTAACAGCCAGTGCAGGACTCTCACGAACGCCAGATTTAGTTTGAGGGGCGATATTATGACGCGTTTTTTAATGTTTGGTCACTTATGTTTAGAAAGAAAGGGGAGAAATCCAAACAATTACCGACCAATCACAAACGTTGTTGCAAATTTGACCTTATGACGTCAAAGAATTTCCCATAATGCAATTATTCCATATAAATAAAAAAAACTACTATACCAATTGAATAAAAAATATTGCATTAAAATGACAAGTTATACCAATTGAATAAAAAATATTGCATTTGAATGACAAATTATACCATTTGAATAAAAATATATTGCATTTAAATGAAGAAATATATCAATTAAATAAAAAATATTGCATTTAAATGAAGAAACATATCAATTAAATAAAAAATATTGCATTTAAATGAAAAATATCAATTTTTTGCAACCAATAACATGCCATAGATGTATAAGAGGAAAAATACTTAAATTAAAACAAAATATCAAAGACTTTTTGTTGAATGTATCTAGTACAAAATAAAAATCCGTTGCACGTTTGACAAAAAGAATAGATGAGCAATCAATAAAAAAAGATTTATACAATGGGTTCGTGGTGAGGGGTCTTTGTCCGAGCACCCCTGATGATTTCTGGGAAACATTGATATCAGTAATTGTGGGGAAAAAGGAGAACAATTTCAATGACCGGACTTCACAATGAACTTAGCCGGAACCGATAAATTTCATCAGTGCTAAACAATAGTTAGTTTATGAACACCAGCCGTCCAACAAGTTACTTGACTGAAGTAATGAATTAAAATTATTACGGTTTGATCCAGATCCGCTTGTGAAATCTGTATAAAACAAATTGATCAAGTACTTTATAGAACATATCCCCATAACAATTTAGTACGATTTACGATACTGTATTTTCTATATCTTGTCTTGCTGTCATAGTTTCTCTCTAGACATAAAGTTTTCAAGATAATTACAAAAAGGCTAAAAATCGTAGAAAAAAGTTTTTAAGGGACAACAACTTTTATAACAAGTGGTTCCTTAAATACAATTATTATAAAAATAATACCGCTAAGTCAGCTAGCCTATAAAAGGCCCCGAAATGACAAATGTAAAACAATCCAAACGAGAAAACTAACGGCCTGATTTATGTACAAAACAATGATCGAAAAACAAATATGATATACAACAACAAACAACAACTATTGAATTACAGGATTCTGACTTGGGACAGGCACATATAGAATGTTGCGGGGTTAAACTAGTTTTGTGGCGGTAAAACCTACCCCTAACCTTGGACAGTGGTGCAATAGTACAACATAAGAACAAACTTTAAAAATCAGTTAAAAAGGGCTTATCTCATCAGATCGATAGAAAACAGAAATCAAAGTACTGAAGAACTGAACATCGGATGACCGCAAAATCATATCTCTATACCTGAAAGTTAGGTTAAAGTACATAGAAATATTTTTTTCTGAGACAACTTCCTGTGTGGATGATGAATAAATGACAGGGAATTTAACCTCACCGTAATAATTATTATATTGTAGAGATATAATCATTTGTTATCAGTATAATCTGGTTTGTTGTTATATATTAAATTAATATCTGTATAACAGTTATATATATAGCAAATCATCTCTCGAGATATTCTAAGACTCAAATATATATCAGTACAAATCCAACATCCAATGGATTTAGTGTGAAGACACCATTAACAGTCAGAGAAAAACATGACCTTGTGCAATACCAAGATATGTTCACCTATTTGTAAATCTTATCTGACGTTCTGATCATTTTAAAAGTGATTCACATTTTCTACATTTTAAAAATTTCAAGATGATAGGCAAAAGGCACAAATATAGGTAAAAATTGTCGTCGTTTATGTTTAATAATTTGTAAATCTTATTTTGGTGCTCATTTTTGTTTATAAAAGTCTCGTTTTTAACAAAACAAAAACACAAAATGGGTGAAAATTGCCATTGGTTGGTAATATGAGTCAATTTTCGATTTCGGTCATGTTGGTTTTATTTTGCTGCTTACATTTTATTTCTGCATGTAAGCTATATATTTGTTACCAACAAAAACAAAAAAATTGTAATACCGAATAATCTTGTGGAGAGTTGTCTCATTGGCATTCATACCACATCTTTTTATTTTTATATTGAATGATAGTAACGCCTGACTCACATGATGTTCACATGTCTTAGCTTGTTGTTGCATTTGCTATAATTTTCGATATATATACATGCCAAAAAATCAAAGAAGAAAAGTGCAAGGGTAATAACTCACATAATGAGTAGTGACGATTTCGACCAGGGATTCATTTTTTTTTATTTGCTGCATGCTTACAGTCTCTCTTTATTCATCAAAGTATTTGTCAAAACAAACGCATGGGTGATTATCGTCTTTGAAGGGCAATAACTCTCCAAATGATTTGATTGACGATATTTACTCCTTTTTGCAAATATGGCTATAATTTTGTAATAATTCAGTGGCCATGTATTGTAAATTATCATAATAAAATCAAAAGATTTTTAATAAACATCTGACAATTTTGTTTTTATGTTATATAGCTTTTATAGTTTATAACCGCTGAAACTTGACCAGCTATCACCAAACATGAACTGTCCAGTATATCCATCTTGGACCTTAACGAATACTTTATCGTCCTTTTTAATTTCAAGAACAACATTCTGACTTGATGAGATGTGTTCTGCTACACTCCGTGCTCCTGTGTAGTTTCTGGCTATCAGTTTTCCGTTTAGAGTGAGATAAGTGAAGAAGTATTTGCCAGTATGAGTAAGGACGGTCCAGGAAAAGATGTAGACACCATTTGAAGGAGCGGTAAATATCCAGGTGAACTTATCGTATCCATTGCCCAAATTTGTTATAATGGTATTATATACTACATCAGATTTAGCAGGGATATTTTCTAAAGAAGCTGAATTTTTAGCCATAAACGCAACTTTACCTGGTCTTGAAAGAAATTGAAAGTTCTATAATACTTTGATATAGCTGAAAAATATGTGAGTTAAAATCAATTCCTGAATATTCCAGATTATGAAGTAATCTACTTATATTTATTCATTGCAACTAGCGCAGCTACATATATATACGTATTGTCCTCTATATATATATACAGGGCGGATCCAGCCATTTCTAAAAGGGGGGTTCCAAACCAGTATAAAAGGGGGGGGGGGGGGGGTGGTTCCAACCAAGTGTCCCCATTCAAAAGCATTGATCGTCAAAAAAAGGGGGGTTCCGACCCCCACCCCTTGTGGATCCGCCACTGATATATGAATTATTTGCGGCTGGACGTTAAGGATCACAATAAATCAATCATATATATACGTATTGTAAATACTCGCGACCAAGATGAGCTCACTTTTAATTGTTGACCCTTTCTTCGTGATTGCAAATGGCAAAAAAAGTTGAAATGTTAATCTTTCAAAAATCTTTTTATTTCGTATCATTAATTTTAGCTCAAGAAGGTTTTTATATAATAGGTGTAAACATCATAAAGAGATATTCGGAACCCTTTCATATGAAAAACTAACGATAACAGAGGGTGTAGATGGGGTTTACGTTATATAGATACAATGGATAAGCGTGGATTCTTGAAAAAGAAACCATGAGCCCGGAGGGCGAATGGTTTGTTTTTCATGAATCTACGCTTATCCATTGTATCTATAACTTAAACTATTGTGTTAATTTCTTTTCAAAATTAAAGCCTTTTCTTAATTAGAAGGTATTGTAAGTGAATTTAAATAACCATGTTATCGTGTCCAACGATGCATTGATAAATCTTAGATTACAATTAATTGGTTAACAAAATACAAATATAACACTTCTACCTTTAAAGATCTTTATATTACCAGGCATATGCATATTATCTGTTTATACAAAATAAGACGTATTCGAAATTATTTCTAATAAAATTGAAAATGGAAATGGGGAACGTGTCAAAGAGACAACAACCCGACCAAAAAGCATACATAAAGTATATATAATAAGTATGTTATCGAAATTTTTCTAGCACTCTAGGCACATCACGGTTTTCTCGCATAGGAATTTGCGAACAAACCTTTGTAAAATTATGTAATAAAACAGATGAAATCATACTATTTTTATAAAACAAAAATTGACAAATAGAATGTAATCATTTTTGTTTCAAACATGTGAAATAGCCAATAATAATAAAAAAAAAACCGGTAAAACTCGCTATTATTACAAAAATATCCACTATAACATGCAAAATTAGAAAAAAAACCAGGATCACTTAAGAATTGGAAAAACAGAGAGAATACAGGGATTCGAACCCAAACCGACAAATCCCTATCTTTAACGCATTGATTTTAACCATGCTAACCTCGCGGCTACCAACTCATACTATACGACTGCCTATTGTGTCTATATAAAGGTACAAGCCCTGTGTGTCCGATGAACCGATGTATATCAGATGTTCATTTAAATATATAAAATAGACAACTATAGTGTAACCCATTGGTAGCCGAGAGGTTTCGTCGATGTGTTGATGTCAGTCACACATAACAGATTTCAAGGAAGGGTTCGATTCCCAGTGAAGGCATATAAAAATTACAAGAAATAAAGGTAAGTTTTTAAATAAATTCCATTAGTGAACAGAAATCAGTAAATTAGCCAATTCAAACTTAATGAAATTAGGCACACAAAGGAAACAATTGAATATAATTTGGTGAGTCAATTTCAGCGGCAGATTTAGGAAGCGTTGATTCTAGAAAAAGAATCCACGGTAAATGAATAGGCTGACGTCACCATAATGGTTTAAAGAAAAGATAATATGGGCAAAAGAAATAAAGAATAGAGAATAATGGGGTGCTAAAATATAAAGAATAACTGCAAAAATTAAAGAATGGGTAAATACATGTACATACTGATTACAGAAAAGAATACAGTTATCAAGTAATTACAGAATAACCATTGTTTTTTTAAAGATAAAGAATAATGAGCGAAAAAAAAATTAAAGTATACAGAAATGAAGGACCCCCATCCCAGCAAAAATAACCAAAAACGAAAAGAGAGAAAAAAAAACTTCTCGAGGGCAGCATACGGTTTCCGACAGTATAAAAATATCCTAGCAATAATCATATTCATAATCGCACGCATCAAAAATTAAGTAATCCAACCAGCGTCCTCTAGCGCTTTATAGAATTTTGAGCCTTCTAATGAAGAGATCGCTAGTAACAGTCAAGACAAGTTGTGAGTTACATCCACAAATATATATATAAGGAAGCCCAGAACAAAATGAATTCACAATTTTCTCACGGGAGGGGGAGGGGGGTCTCAACTTACAAATCTTGGTACAGACATGTGACTAGGGTTTAAACCCCCAACCCCATTCATATATTGATGTTTGCGAAAATCCCTACCACATGTGATGGTTCATATTATTTGACAAAAAGATCAGTCACAGTTTTTACAGACATCTTAACAGGAGATAAAGATTTATGACCCATTGACATATAAATTTCTATCCATTGTTATATTACCTCCGCGAAATTGCACCTTATTGATATATCCAAAATGACGGCACATACCAGCGGCATGTCTGTGAATAACTATATATATGAAGAGAGACCCCCCTTCGTGAATCGACTGCAGTGTTTTATTCCATGTGCCAGAAATGCATATGACGTGCATTAAGTGATGATTATACTTCATATTTGCCCTTTTTCACCAGGTAAGCTGACCATTTGTCTTCAAAATTGCTCTCAGAATACACTTTTGTTAGTAAAGCCCTGTTTCATTCTTCTTCGTTAATATAACACTGACACTGCATGTTTATAATATAATGAAAATAAAAATAAGGAGATGTGGTATGATTGCCTATGAGACAACTATCCACCAAAGTTCAAATGCAGTGGGTGTAAACAATTATAGGCAACCATACAGCCTTCAACAATGAGAAAAACCCGTACCGTATAGTCGGCTATAAAAGGCCCCGACATGAAAATTATGAAACAATTCAATAGAGAAAACTAACGGCCTAATTTATAACAAAACAATTTACGAAAAACAAATATGACAGACATGAACCAATGACAACCACTGAACTACAGGCTTCTGACTTGGGACAGGCACATATAGAACGTGGCGGGGTTAAACTTGTTTGTGAGCGACCAACCCTTCCCTTTATATATATATACCTGGGACAGTGGAGTAACAGCACAACATAATAACAAACTATAAAAATCAGTTGAAAAAGGCTCAACTCATCAGATCGATACAAAGAAAAAACATCAAACAAAAACAGACAGGACGTTCAAAGCCAATAACAACTAATAAAAAAAATCATGTATCTAAGACTAAAATATAAGTCAGTACACATCCATCTGATAAGTTCATTGTCAGATTAATGACTATCTTGTTTGAATACTCGTCAATCGTGTATTTATCAAAGACAAAACAAAATTGAAAAAGGAAAATAAAAAAGGGAAAGAACAAAAATATCCACTCGTGACCCATCCCCAATATCAACAAGACGCTAGTGTAACCGGCACGACGGAGATTCTTTCAGTCAAACCATATAAATAAAGGGCGTAACGCCGATTGATCTGTATCAGACTTAAACTAGTTTAATTTAATACCGCCACATTCTGTATTTGCCTGTCCCAAGTCAGGAGCCATTAATTCAGTGGTTGTCGTTTGCTGCTGTGTATCATATTTGTTTTTCGTTCATTAGTTTGTACATAAATTAGGCCGTTACTTTTCTCGTTTGAATTGTTTTATATTTGTCATTTCGGGGTCTTTTATAAAGCTGACTGCGGTATGGGTTTTGCTCATTGTTGACGGCCGTACGTTGACCTATAGTTGTTAATTTCTGTCTCGTTTGGTCTCTTGTTGAGACTTGTCTCATTGGCAATCATACCACATCTTATTTTTTTTTATATTTAGTGTAAACTATCATACCTGAAACTCTTTCTGTACAATCACATTTTCCATCATTGTCTTCAACGAGTTTAAGTTGGTATTGGATACTCTTCATTAGACCAGCATTTTTGGAGCAGGACTTATGTCCCGTTACCATAAGTGTCATAACACATGTCAATGAGGATGACTTGGAATAAACTGAAATCGAAGCTCGATATCAATGTGTGTGTCACATCCATAAAAAGTTTGTCCTCATTATTGCAATTCTTTTATTAAAATTATGTCAGTTTGTTAAACAAAAGTTTTTTTTTATAACATTCGGGTAGTCAAATTATGAACTGCCAAAGACATAGTTTTGATTTAACCGAATCGTTTATCCTGTGTTTATTTCTATCAAACTTAAAGCGCGCATTCTGACGTAGAGGACGGATTTAACATAGATGAATTGAAATGGGTACTGTATATTCCGATTTAAGGACGTTTGCTACTCTGTTTCAAAATAAAAGCCTTTCAAAAGAATGTTATAAATTGATGGTATATATATATATAACGGAACTAATAAAGCAGAAAAAATGAAGGGTCCGTGTGCTTATTTTGATTTTTTTTTATATATAAGCCATTGAAAATTTGCCGGGAAATGATTCTCTCTAGATTTTTCATACATTTAACATTTGCAACTTTTTTCTTCCAAAAACTATGAAAAAATAACAATGTATTTATTAGATTTCAAATATGGCTATTTAAACTATATGTAATAAAATTAGGAAAAGAAAAGTAAGGGTTAGAGAGCAAAATATTTGATGGCACTATATGGATAAAACAAGAGGACTCCGAATATCTGACACAAAGTCAAATATAAGAGGAGCGAACATCCTTAATGCATGTATTTATGGTAAAGAATCGTCGAAAATTATGATAACGAGGAACTAATAAATAATCGCAGTCTACATGTTGTAATAGCATATATCAATCAAAATTAAAACTTAATTTTTCTTGCGATATTCATCCTGCTATAATTTGTCATTAAAAAAAAACCCACATGGAATAAACTTAAGATTTGTAGTATTCTTTAATTTTATATAATTTACATCATGACTTGTGAAACTAGTGGAGTAAGATATTAGTTCCGAAGCACGATGAGATCCCCACCAGTTCGTGTTGCTTAGTCGTTAGGTTTCTATTTAGTTTTTTTGTGAATTTGTTTGTCTTTTCTTCGTCTTTTCGTTTTGTGTTTTTTTTTTTTTTTTGCCATGGCATGTCAGTTTCTGTCGGTTTGATTTATGAGTTTTGAATGTTCCCTTAGTATCTTGTATTTCTTTTTTTTGAAAAAAAACTCAATCTTCGGTGTGAAAATATAAAGAAACGTTCTATGAAAGGTTTAATACAAGATATTTAACAGAAAAGTATTGTAATTCATTAATTCATTTAAAGTTTAAAAAGAAATACATAAAAAAAGGTCAAGAAATATACTTTCTTCAGTTTATTATGATTTACAAAATAAAAATTAGTGTAGAAATAACAATCTTATAAATGTTTAAAAATTTGTGTGTTTCCTTCGGCAACTTTACCAATGTTATTGTTTAGTTGCCTACCAATCAATAAATCAGATATAAAAATGAATGGCAGGGGAAAAAAGCCTTCCAAAAATAAATTCAATAACAACTTTACTCTGTAGATAATTATAACGAATATGTTTATTCACAACGGACTATGAGCGGTTAGACCCTAACCGGTCTTTATTGTTGATGTCTAAATATATTATCGTCCTTAATATTCACGAAATATTTGTCACTGGACGTTTAGCGAGCAACATTCAACCAATTTAAATAGTTTTAAAAGTGTGGATGATGGAGGATAATGACTGATTGTTCAATGATGCGTTAGCACAAACATGCTATATTGTAACTGGAGCTCCTTGCGTATATTTAAGACAACAACAGGTTTTAGTGGTTTTATGTAAAATTACGTATACATGTATGTCCTTTGTTAATTATGTATCATTGTCATTTTGCTTAGTTTCTTTTGTTACCTATTCTGACATCGGACTCGGACTTCTTTTAAACTGAGTTTTACTGTGTGTATCGCTGTGTGTTTCTTTATTCTACATTGGCTAGAGGTATAGGGGGAGGGTTGAGATCTCACAAAACATGTTTAACCCTGTCGCATTTTTGCGCCTTTCCCAAGTCAGGAGCCTCTGGCCTTTGTTAGTCTTGTATGTTTTTTAATTTTAGTTGATTTATATGTTTTGGAGTTTAGTATGACGTCCATTTTCACTGAAATAGTACACATTTTTATTAAGGGGCCAGCTGAGGACCACCTCCGGGTGCGGGATTTTCTTGCTGCGTTGAAGACCCATTGGTGGCCTTCGGCTGTTATCTGCTCTTTGGCCGGGTTGTTGTCTCTTTGACATACTCCCCATTTCCATTCTCAATTTTATGTATATATATATAATTTAGCTAATTTGCAATCAATTCCATCTTCATGCCTAATATATCATGTACTGTGTTACAAGTCTAGATTCTACTGACGAGGAAAGGTAACACTAGGCCACCGAAAGCTGAATCTTTTGTTCAATAGCATGAGTTCGAATCCCTGCGAAGGAAGACAAAAATTTGCTTCCGCAAATTTGCAGATTTAACATTGTTGTGCTGATATTTAGAGTAATTATGTATATATATATATTTATATATTATGGTGTTAGCCCTGCCACGTGTTATCCGATGGAGAATGTCTGTCATCAAGTTTAGACGTGTATATATATAATGCTGCTTTTCCAAAAAAATTTCTAACACGACACATCTATTTTTTCTGCTATATAAATGACATAAAGACAGCAAGAGTCCATAGAGCATGTGTTCGTGTGCACATGGCGCCCAGGCCTTTAACTTGGAAAACTATTAATTTTTGGCATAAAACACGTCAAATTGCCTGCTTTTCTCCAACATACCCTTTTTTCCAGTGGCAATGCAAATTTCCCGCCTTTCATATCTGTCGGACTATCGTATAGAACATATACCTATTTTATTTATTGAAAAATTTGTTTTCGTCTTGAATATATGCATAAAATAATTGCCATTGGACGCACAGCAAACAAGAACCAATCAATTAAAAAAGGGGGAGGGTATAGTCCAGTCTAAGTACATACGGAGAAAAAAATGCTTTCATACATCTGTGAAATAAAATTTCGAATAGCTTTCAGGATGAATTGGTGAATTGAAACTCATGTTAGGTCTTAAAACCATTTGCACAAAACATGGAGAATAATAGATTTTCAATACGATACATAGAAACAAGAAAACACGTTGTAATATAGTTATACTTATAAAAAAGTGACATATACATTCAGTTACACTAATGTATGAGCTAGGGAGAGAAAAGGGGGCAAGGGAGGCAATCCCTTCACTTTTAAAAACTGACTAACTCCTGATACTGATATGAGTTTATAATAAAATTTAAACTTTTTTCTTCAATTTCAAAAGTTTGCTTCCCCCCACTATCCAGTCCATCCCTACGCCACTGTGTAAAGTATATACCTTTAGTATTATGAAAATTGACCAAAGACAAATTTCTTTAGAAGAAAATATAAAACAAATTATCATACCTCATTTCGATCTGTTGATTCGCTAACTGGACTAGTTCTAATCAGTTTTCATGATTTTTGGGCAATATATCAAGTTTAACTCTATTGCCACGTATGCTCCTTTGTTAACACGCAAACTGATCATTTTGGTAATGTATAAGTTGAAATCAATCCGAAAAAGGAGGAAGTAAAAAATAGCAACATTGTTAAATTCTAGTATGTCCGAATTTATGAAAAGATCCCCCTTTGTCGAGATATGTATTAGAGCGGCCAAAGAGAAAATATAAATACAGTCTATCAAATATGTTTCAAGTTGATGGGACTTTTGGAATACTCCTAGTCGCTTTACATCTCCGCACGAAGACAGTTCTCAGAAACAAATTATACAGTCACATGAGGCAAACAAATGCACATTGAAGAGACTGATACATATAATATAAAATGAATACCTGATCAACCATTTTTCACGGTTGGGTGGCTATAAAATAATAGTTTACTTTTCATAAATCATGATATATTAAGTTTTACGACCGAGTTTGTATAGATAAACCCTTAAGGGCATACGATACAGTTTCGATCCCCCGGTGATTTGTTTATGAAAATTTGAAAACAAGCTATTTTGCACCTGGTCAATTCAAATATGTTATAAAAAATATACCTTCGTGTGCTAAATTTAGAGATAAATGGGGTCGAAATATTTGACATTTACAAAAACTTGAATTTCGGTTTCTTGGACATTTCTATCCTTTGGATAGACATACTTAACTTTTTTGTTTTAAAAGATAAACACATGCGGATTTTTGTAAAAAGATTTGGAGTGAATACCTTCTTTACAAAAGTATGGTCGAAAATGAGTAAAATTCTTTGGAAATAAGTCATTTTTATCAAATTTTCATTTAGTTTCCGTTCTCTAACTTTACCTTTAGTTTGCCTAAACCAAATGTTATGGAACTTAAACAAAATGCTTATTATCACAAAATTACCGTTCTTGAGTTATGTCCAATGTACACATTTTCCATTTATTTAAGTTATGGCTTGAGATCTTAACTTTCTTTGATATGTTGAAATTATGTGACTAAAATACGGAATGAAATGCTCCAGGGAGTGCAGCTTGATACAATCCCAGATCATTGGGGCAAATGACAGTTTTTTTAGACATGTTACAAACATATTGTAAATTCTTGAAATACTTATACTTACAGAGTCCAATAAAGACAAAACAGATGAGACAGATTCCAATATAGACATAACAGAGGAAAAGTCTACAGAAGATCAACGACACAGTAGCAGTAAACAGAACATAGTAACAATAAGGCAGTTGTCGATAGTAGGAGTCTTGAATTTGATTAAGCTTTACACAGAAAACGACCACTTTTTTAACAAAGTTGGATACAGAAAAAAGTCTATTTTGAAAAAAAATATTTCAAAAATGTCTGATCTTGGATACTCTTTTTCTGCAACACAGCGCGAGCAAAATTGGAAGAACATAACAAAAATCTACAGAGATACAGTTGATATCAATTCCAAATCTGGAAATGACTTGAAAGAGTGTACTTTTTTTTTAAAGAATTGAATGAAGTTTACGGATATAGACCAAATGGTAATCCTGTTTTTCTTCTTGGGTCAATTGATAATAATAACAATGGAGAAAAAACAATGATGAAAAGTCTGATTCTATAACCTCAACCAGCAAAACAACACCTTCATGCAAAAGAAAAATTATCCCAGTAAGTCCAAGTAATGAACAAAACAAAAAGAAAACAGCTGATGTTGAGGTAATGTACTTTCTAAAAGAAATGCAGCAGGAAATGAAAGATGATCAGCAAAAATTATTGCAGGAACTAAAATGCCAACACAACGAGAAGATGGATAAGGAGGAAAATACTGGGATTAATGGCAAAACTAATTGAGAAATTACCAGGAAAAAATCACTGAGGGAATACACTACAGTAATATATGTGTTTTCAGTTTTACATTCAGTATTGCATTTTTTTTTCGTAAATAGCCATAACATGTTAACCGATTCATTTTGTTTTGTTTTTGTTTTTGATTATTTTTGTTTTAATTATTTCATTTTTATTGTATTGTTTCAAATTTTATTGAATAGATGTTGATAAAATACATTGTATTTCTCATTTAAGCAGAATGCCTTGACCAACAATTCACAAAAGAGATCATGATTAAAAGAGGCGGGTGAATAACATGAATAAGACAAATACATGTATCTGGACGAACGAAGGTCACATCAAATTGATTATTTAATCTTTGGATTTCGCTGCTCTGTTTTCTAGACCTTGTTTTTTTTTGTTGCTTCATTTTGCATGCCCCAAATACTTCAATTTTTAATAAAAAGTATATATAAAATAAAGTGTTCTCTCGCTTCTAAAATTTGTTAAAAAAAATGGTTTGTTTTTTTCCATTTTTTGCAATATTTTAGCTTTGAAAATCGTGCTGCATCCAAAGAACTAAAATAAATTTGGTGTGGCCTAATCTTTCCTTCTATTGCCAGGATCCCTATAGCAATCTGCGTGTCCATCTGTTTGACAAAAACTGTGTCAAGTCTATATATAGAGAATTCTTACGTTAAATAATGATACTTGGTATGAATGTGCACAAGCATCAGAGGGAGTGTCACAAATAATTCCCGAATCTGTAGACAACATGTCAAGGTTAGAAACTAATGTAAATTATCAAACATATAGCGGATTATAGAAAGATGATAAATATAAATTGCAAAAATGATCATCAAGACGATCTGCATCCATGCAAATTTTCATTACAGTCTGACTACCCGTGGTGGAATTTTGTCCATGAAATGTCAATTGTTACCAATTTTGGGGCCTTTTATAGCTTACAATGCGGTATGGTTTTGCTCATTGTTAAAGGCCGAACGGTGACCTATAGTTGTTAACTTGTATGTCATTTTGTCTCTGGTGGGAGAGTTGGCCCATTGGCAATCATACAACATCTTCTAATTTTCATATTGTTAATTTGTTACATGTACTTCAGATTTTGTACCATCATAGTTTTTGGACCTTATGTTTTTGAGCACTAAAACAAACTTAAATATGTACAAGCTTAAAAATACTTTCAGTATCAAAAATATCTACAGATTTCAGCCGCCTGAACCGACCTTTTAGAGATCCAAATGTAATTTCAATAGTCATTCTTGTTGAGCTGTGAATAAACTTATAACGCTTTTGGTCATCATTCAAGTTTCCGTAGTCTTTAAACGGTGTAAGTAACCAATCAAGAATGGCTGCATCTCCAAGTAAGTGGACATTTCCAGGGAATTTGTTATCAGCATTTGTTGCAAGCCAATATATTTTTAAGTTCTAAGTACCGACCAACCACAGAAAACATCAATGATATGCATATTTGGATCACATATTGCTTGTAGGTTAATGGAGTGAAAACTTTTCCTATTGATATAGTTTTCTAGGTGGTCTGTATGTGTCCTAATTGGTATGTGACTGCCATCAATAGCTCCGTTGACCCCTGGAAAACATGTTCGGTCTTTGAATTCACGGACATTTTGCTGTATATTATGGTCTTTTGGTCATTTAATCATTTCTGGTATCAATTCTGTACATATAACAGAGGAAATCCTGCGTACAAGACTATATACAGTTGCCTCACAGACTCCAAATAAATCAGTAATCGACTGCATTGTTTGCTGTGATTTTACATATCTGATATAGATCAGCAGTTGCTTATCCACTGGAATTTTCATTAAAGCATCTAAATTTCCATGCAACAACATAGGTGATAATCTCTCAGTAATTTCATGGAAAGTATCTCTGTGAAATCTAAACCTTTCTCGAAAGTCATCTATTTGGTACAAGGGCACAACTGCTTCAACATAATTAATTACCCGTGCAATCCGTCTTCTCTTGGCTTTTTCTGAACAAGGGGAAGACTGCAAATCATAAGAGTTGAGCCTTGATGCACGACTGTTAATACATGCAATGGTTGCACTGACATCTTCATTAGTTTCAAGAAACAAGTCTGACATCTCATACAATTCAGCCATTTATTACAAAAGACAAACCGATGCATTTATTACAAAAGATAAACCAATGAATTAGTTTCAAACCGGTTTCGAGCTAGTTTCTAAACCGGTAAACCATACTCAAGCTGGTTTCTTTTACCCTCACCCCCGTACCCATACAAAAACCATTTCGTACCCTGAACTTTTTGTACCCTTACCATTTCGTACCTCATGGAATATATATAATTATATATATGTTATTGTACTGGTATAGATTAGAGAATTTAGGTAATAATTTTCCTCTATCAAAAGAGGCATATACACAATCAAAGACACTACATCACATGAATATAACATCATGGTATGGTTCAATAAATGTTATTTTTAAAATACTTGGTATTGACTATACAAATGCCATAAATGCTCCATTTTGTGAATCCTTATACAAATTTAAGAAATATATACAAACCAAGCTATCAATATTGTTTATTAGCTGTTGGAAAAAACAAATACATAAATTTTCAGACAGTAAACTGAAAACCTACCTTTTATATAAAACAAATTTTGGTTTTGAAAAATATCTAACATTGATCAAGAATTTTGAACTTAGAAGAAGTTTTACTAAATTACGTGTATCTTCTCATAGATTACAAACAGAATTAGGTAGATATCAGGGTATTCCCCGAATTAACAGAATATGTAATAAATGTTCTTCCAATACTGTCGAAGATGAGGCTCATTTTCTATTTGATTGTAACAAATTTGAGGATGATAGAAATTGTATGTTAGCTAGTATTGCAAAATATAATTCTTATTTTAATCATATGAGCAGTCAAAGCAAAATTATCTGGTTATTTAGTGTAGAAAATGTTGAGTTGCTTAAAATAATATGTAATTTTATATACAAACATCTTCCTTAGTGAAGATTAGTTAAAGGAAATCTATGTGTGTATATACATTTGATTGGACATAGAAAATTATATTCATCTGAATATCACAAACATACTAGCCGATTAAAAAAAAATAATTAATTGTTAAGATATATTATTTATTCAAATGTTCTCTTATATCCTTGAGGCATCGTCCCCTGGTATCAACTGCATTCAAGTTACCTATGATGCTTCCTTGTTTGCTTTTGATACAGGTAGGAAAGAGACATTTACACACATTTTACATACCTATGGCCCATAAGGTATCGCCCCCTGGTGTCAGCTGCCTTTAGGAAACCATAATCATTGACTTTCCTATTTGCTGCTGACACAGGATGAGTCATGGACATGCTTAATTGCTACTTTCTTTTTGGCTAATTATTATATGTTTAATTGATCCAACTTTTTGTGTACTATACATATATGGATATCTATTTTTCTTTTTTTCTTTTTGGGCTGCTTGTTTGTTATCTATATCAACCACACTTGCAATAAAATGCATTAGTATTAAAAAAAAACATACTATAGATTCTTTATCTACGTACTCTTTAAGAACTTAAATAGTTCTCGTTAAACTTTTCTCTTTTTTTTTTTTATCTCATTGTTTGTATTGTATTATGAAAAATTATTGATGTTGTAATGTTTATGCCCTTTGGGGCCCATAATTGGAAATAAAAATATCTTATCTTATCTTATATGTATGCCTTTTCGAACATCATGGAATATATATAATTATATATATATATGTATGCCATTTCGTACCTCATGGAATATATATATATGTTTGAACGTTGTTTTCAATTTAGACTCTTTTATATTTATCGTTTGGGCTTGTATTATATTTTCCTTAGGGTTTATATGATCCGTTCATCCTATTTCGACTCTTTAAAATTCAAGAGTCTATCCTAAATTGAGGTAAATTATATGGCCTTCCAAATACCTTTTCGATCCGTAACATCACTGAAGAGACATTAATTGTCGAAATCCGGATATGTTGTACAAATTTTTGCACCTCAAGTTTGTGGAATACCATCTTACCGCAAGTTAATTGTTTTCTGTTTGGTATTAAATTAATATTAAGATCCATTTTGTTAAATCTTGTGATCAATTTATTTGACAATCGCCAATGGCAGTCAGCAGGGTTTAAGAACATCCGTTGTTCGACCTGTTAGTCAAATACGTTTTGTTTAAATATACTTTTTCACTCTTTTGGTCTTTTGGAAAATGTTGTTTGTGCTGTATTTAGACCCCTCTATCAAGAAATTTGTTTTACATGCACACGTATAAAAATTGCGGTTTTTATCCAACGCAATCATAGGTTTGAACGTTGTTTTCAATTTAGACGCTTTTATATTTTTTCGTTTGGGCTTGTATTATATTTTCCTTAGGGTTTATATGATCCGTTCATCCTATTTCGACTCTTTAAAATTCAAAAGTCTATCCTAAATTGGGGAAAATCATATGGCCTTCCAAATACCTTTTCGATCCGTAACATCACTGAAGAGACATTAATTGTCGAAATCCGGATATGGTGTACAAATTTTTGCACCTCAAGTTTGTGGAATACCATCTTACCGCAAGTTAATTGTTTTCTGTTTGGTATTAAATTAATATTAAGATCCATTTTGTTAAATCTTGTGATCAATTTATTTGACAATCGCCAATGGCAGTCAGCAGGGTTTAAGAACATCCGTTGTTCGACCTGTTAGTCAAATACGTTTTGTTAAAATATACTTTTTCACTCTTTTGGTCTTTTGGAAAATGTTGTTTGTGCTGTATTTAGACCCCTCTATCAAGAAATTTGTTTTACATGCACACGTATAAAAATTGCGGTTTTTATCCAACGCAATCATAGGTTTAAACGTTGTTTTCAATTTAGACTCTTATATATATATATATATATATATATATGTATGCCATTTCGTACCTCATGGAATATATATATGTATATCATTTCGTACCTCATGGAATATTTATATGTATATCATTTCGTACCTCATGGAATATATATATGTATATCATTTCGTACCTCATGGAATATATATATGTATAACATTTCGTACCTCATGGAATATATATATGTATATATATATATGCAATTTCGTACCTTATAGAATATGTATATGTATACCATTTCGTACCTCATGGAATATATATATGTATATCATTTCGTACCTCATGGAATATATATATGTATGCCATTTCGTACCTCATGGAATATATATATGTATATCATTTCGTACCTCATGGAATATATATATGTATATCATTTCGTACCTCATGGAATATATATATGTATATCATTTCGTACCTCATGGAATATTTATATGTATGTATGCCATTTCGTACCTCATGGAATATTTATATGTATGTATGCCATTTCGTACCTCGTGGAATATGTATGTCATTTCTTACCTTATGGACGATTTATATGAATGCCATTTTGTAATTCATGGAATATTTACATATATATATCAATTCGTACCTCATGGAATATATATATGTATAAAAATTAAAAAAATTAAAAAAATTAAAAAAAAAAATTATAATAAATCAGCAAATAAAGCAGTACTTTACATGTACCGTAGTTAAAACAAGAGGGGTAAAAAGTAGTTTGGTTTAAATTTAAAACTAAGCATTAAAACACTGATAAGCATAGCCATTAAAACAGTTTTATAAAAAGATATAATAAATCTATATCAGCATCTGCATGTAAAACATTTACTATTGTTAAAAAAGCACTAAAAGTAAAAAGTAAATATTAAAACACTGATCAGCATAGCCATTTAAAACAATTTCAGTTTTATAAAAAGATATAATAAATCTATATCAGCATCTGCATGTAAAACATTTACTATTGTTAAAAAAGCACTAAAAGTAAAAAGTAAATATTAAAACACTGATCAGCATAGCCATTTAAAACAATTTCAGTTTTATAAAAAGATATAATAAATCTATATCAGCATCTGCATATAAAACATTTACCATGGTTAAAAAAGCACTAAAAGTAAAGCACTATGCGTCTTACCACCTATTCATACAAACTTTCAAATACATTACAGTTCATAACAAATATAATACAATGTACATTAAAAGTTATGTTGAAAATTTCAAGGTAGTGGTCTTGTTGCTACGAATACGCTTCTTTTGGTTTGGCTTCCTTGCGGTGGTTGGAGTTTTAGGAATCTTTAATTTTCCGTCAGATGATTCCACAAAAGTGTCTCTCGGTTTGCTTAGATTCATAAACTTTCTGAAAATGGCGTCCTTTTCTTTTGCACATTTCGACGACCATACCACTTCTGTTACTTGAAGTTTTTTAGCCCAAGGAGCCAACGCATAGTTCCCCTGGCCATGTAATGCTCGGCGTATAACTCGATATTGTAATTGAACAATTTTGTGTAGTTTGTCTATAAGGTCCGGGAGCTTACATTTTCATTTCGGGGCCTTTTATAGCTGACTATGCGGTATGGGCTTTGCTAATTGTTGAAGGCCGCCATACGGTTACCTATAGTTGTTAATTTCTGTGTCATTTTGTCTCTTGTGAATAGTTGGTTTAATGGCAATCACACCACATCTTCTTTTTTATATTTTAGATATATAGTGTAAAGAAATTCCCCTTATTTACATATACGCAGTATAATTCGAAAGCCAACTCCCCGAGATAGAATAATTTAGAAAGCATGTGACTTCACTATTGTCCAGTTATTTTGCTGTCTTTTATTATATGACAAACGAGACAGTGAATTCAAATGCTTCATATGAACCAGATATCGCTTTTTCTTATCTAATATATTTTAAAGCTAAAATGTTAAT